TTTCCAGCAACAAAGATAACACAGTCAGAGATGTACCTGAATGGGCTACTCTGGAGAGAATGCTGATAACAAGAAGCTGCACCAGGAAGGGACAACAAATGTAATGAGATGGTGCAGTGTAGAGTCTACAGTGAAACGTTATACCAGTGCTATCACCAAATTCACCAATATTATCTCTAAGGCCACGCCATAGCTTAAGCGGTTAGTCACTGGCTTCTCACCGCTGTGGTCTAGTCAAGTGGGATTTGGGATGGACAAAGTGGCGCTGGGGCAGGATTTCTCCGAGTACTTCAGTTCCCCTGCCAATCCTCATTCCATCAAATTCTTCATAAGCATAATCACGGTACAGATACAATAGGACATATGCAGGCCGACGTGCCGAGGGGACCCAATATGGATTCCACCTCACACTATACGAACTCTAACTATTGTAATCTACTGTTAAGTATTGTAACTTTACTCTCTTATTGTAATCCGCCAATGTACAGTAACTGACTTGTCCTATATCATGTAACAATGATCTAGAGATGAAATAAATAAATAAATAAAAAAGTACTTTGAAATTTATTGCTATATTATAGTGATAAATCACTGTGTGAATGTTATGTTATTTTTTATGTTAAGTTGTTATTATTTGACATGTCCAATTGTAATTCTCTACAGCTATGGATGAAATAAATAATGATAATAATAATAAAATCACTTCATGTGCCAGCAGCACGACAGCTCACAGATGGTCCACAACACTTAGAGATGTACCAACACTGCACAACTAAAGACTGTGCTCTGGTCATATGGGATGTCCTCCAAAAGGAATTAGCAGAGATAAAACTGACAAAATATGCATTCAAATAACTACCTCCAACTGGAATACACACAAAATAACACAAGGTTGACGAACACTGTACAATATGAAACTTCATACTTTGCACCATTCATCCAATATAATTATGTGACCAAATCAAGAAGGGTGTGATGGGCAGGGTATGTAGAATGCAAGGGATAGAAGAAAATGCATACAAAATTTTCTTTGGATAACATACAGAAACATGACTACTAGGAAGACCTATTCCTAGGTGTAGATAGAAAAATAAAGTTGAAATGAACCTCAAAGAAAACATGATAGGAGGGTGCTGACTGGATTCTCTTGGCTCCACATACGGGCCAGTGCCTGACTACTGCAGACATGGTAATGAATCTTTGGGTTCCATAAAGTGGGGTATTTTGTAACCAAGTAAATATCTGTTTCTCAAGAAGTATTCTTCTCCATATAGTTGAAACCTGCCCATCTATATATGACTACACACTCAAAAGTGCCAGCTGATATTCAGAAATAGTTAAGAATTTACTTTCATAATTTCTTATGTCACTGCACTGTGTAAAATGTTCCTGTCTTACACTCAGCAAATGATGTATCCAGAATGCATGCTTCAAATCATTCTTGTTTAATTTCTTGTGCAATAACAATACACAAACTCCATTTTAAAACTGGATTTAGTCAAGCACACAAGGCTAGCCATTCCAATGAGCTGCACTGCCACTGAGATGGGCCATAAACACACTCAAGGAAAATTGTTCACTGAAACATGCCACTATGGCATTACACAAATGTTCACGGAAAAGACCACTAAGTGTATTCAGAGAAGCTACATTTGATCACTGAATATCAGAGGTGAAGAAAACGTATACTAAATTTTACCTTAATACCCTGAATACGCTTCTGACTAAATCGAAGTGTATTATTAATTTCATCCAGTCTCATTTCTGTTCGTTCCAGCTGTTCTCGCTGACGTATAAGTTCCTGCACATTAAGAAACAATATATTATAAGTGTGGCAAGAAATAGCTACTTGAAATTCAATTATCAAACGGTATGACATTTATGCAGCAAACAGTCACTTAAATGGTTGGTAAGTAAGACTCGAAAAAACCATGGATCTTAAGTCAGTCACTTGAACATAACCTAAAGCCTAAACTATAACATACCTCAGCAGCTGCCACCCCGATTTGTTCTGAATCTCGCAGTAAGCTAATAGACCTCTGAGACGACTGAAGAGTACTCTCCTCAATTGCTTTTTTCCTATCCAAAAGCTGTAATCGATTATCTTCAAGGGCACTGTTTCTCTGATGATATGAATTATTTGGCAGCATGTATCCAGAACTACCGGATTTTGAATGCCGTAAAAACGTTTCATCGTCCACATCATCATCATCTACAGAGAAGAATGGAGTATTCGGATCAGTTACATACTGTCTTCCTGCCATTTTAAAGACCTTAACACTTCCTTTCACAATACAACAGCAACCATATTGGATTTCTCAACAACTTCCTGCACACCCACGTGATGAGCGCTAGCGAATTGAATATATGAGTAATTCGACCGTTGAACAATACTCTGACCCACTGACACGACAGATGACCATTACTAAGCAACGACCCTGTAAACACTTACTTGGCAACGGATACACACAACAATAGATGAAATGCTGGAGGCATGAGGAGTAACTAAAAGTAAAGCTAACCCTGTAACAGGCCATGAAGGCCCATAGGGTTGTGAGACGTCGAGGGTCCCACATTATCTAGACAATCGGCTCAAAGATGGCGGTAAGGTTGTCAGCCCTACGCGCTTTACTCCCCAGGAAAATTAGTTATTTAATTTCTGGTACTCATTTCTGTTAAGAGGCTGAGTGAACCCCAGGGCCATAGTGCGGCCGGAAGGATTAGGTCAATTGAAAAAATCCAATGACCTCATCGGTATTTCTACCCGCGACCTTCCGACTTGTAGCAAAGTGCCTTAACCACTACACTACCGCGTGCCCCTCTTTCCAACCACACTATGGCCCTGGGGTTGACTCAGCCTCTTAACAGAAATGAGTACCTGGAATATTCTTGGGAGTAAAGGGCGGCCAGCGCGTAGGGCCGCCATCTATGAGCCGATTGTCTATAGAAAATGTGGGAACCGTTACAATTTATAACTCTATGGGCCTCCATGGCTTGTTACAGGGATAACTTTATGTTTTACTTTTTTTACCCATTGTTTTCCTTCACACAGATACTCTTATTTTAGGGGCTAGTTGAATTTTTGATCACATTACAGCATATTCACAATCTTTAACCCATCAATCTGCTATGTCACTTAACACTTCCATGCATGAACTAAAGTGAAAATGTGCCATCTTCACTTTCTGTAAGAGATTTTCCCATTCGACAAGCAAATTCAAGTACCTGGCACACCCCATTCCCATACATGACAGATAACGGGGACTTATTGTACGTTAACATCCTCAAGCCCACGCGATAGAAACTCAGTGCTACTGGCGGTGAACATAGCCGCCGTGACGTCATGAAGCATCACTGCTGCCACAGTGCCCGGATGCAACTCTATTGATACAAAATGGCTGCCATAAGTACCGAGAGCTCGGTCGGTAAGAGTGTGTGCTATCATACCACCTACCTTGTCGGTAAGAAAGCATGCTATCATACCACCAACCTTTGTGTACTGCTCCCTCCCGAAAAATCGCTGGTTCACCTAAATATCGAGAAATAATAATTGATGTAAATGAAATGTTCATATTTTAAATGCACTGGAGAAACTTTCCCCAGATAAATAAAATTGCAACCATGGCGTCTTGTACTGCAGAGGTTCTCACTTCATTGTGTGTTTCTTGTTTTTGAACTGAGTTTAACATCACTTCACTCAAAACCATCTGGAGGGGCATGAGTTAAATGATATCAAACTCAGTTCGAAAACAGAAAAAACACAACGGTGTAAGAACCTCTGCAGTGCAAGATATCAGGTTGCAACATTATTTATCAGGAGAAAGTTTCTCACCAGTGCCTGTAAAATAAGAACATTTCATTTACATCAATTCAGCACCCCCTTACTGAAATGCAATGGATATTTGAACTATAAAATATATAGAATACTTTTGTTTAGGAAAGCTGATGGTGGGTAAACTTGAAAGAAAATTCTGTTTCCATCAGAGATACTTGTATTCAACTTCATAACTTTGCTTACAACTTATACTTGAAAGTTACACAAAACATAGTTTTTCAGTTACATTAACGTGTTATAAATCATGTATAGGGAGTAATAATACTGAGGTTTCCATTGGTCATTAATTTCAGTAGTATAATGAAACTCGAGAATCTGATACACACTCTTGTTAACAAGATTAAGATTGCATTTAATAATATATGAAAAGCAATAAAATAATTGCAGAACTCTTACAAACCTCATGATCTGAAACATGCTCATGTTTTCAAATTCTATACTAAACATAATAATGTGGCCAAAATAATAAATTAACTGAACAAATATAACGAACCTTGAAAGTCTGATATATATATGACAGTTTTTTTCATTCCCGTACACACCCTCTTATGAACCGCGTCTGTCATCTGGCAGGTCGCTATTTTTAGCCAGCTACAGACTGAGCATTCTCGTTATCTCGACACATGAGAGCTACCTAAGGCGGGGTGGGTTGGTATGTCCAGCGCGGTTCACAACCGAGCGGCACCCTGTGTTGCGGCTGCCAACAGCTTTAAGCACCAATCAATTTAGATTAAAGGTAATTTCACGAAGTTAACTTTATATTCATACTTTAAATGTATCATGTATTATGCTGGTTTATTATTTTGTTCCGTTTATTGTCAGTAATCGTTAGCTTCTGTTCTGAGTTTAAAACAGTCATAACTCCATAACCGTCCAAAATTGGATACGTGTTTATATGAACTTTTTTGCTCACAAAGGCCTAGGAAATCACCTCCTGCAGTTATGCCCTAAAGTCGTGAAACACCCTGTATATGTGTGTTCAAAAGTTCAATGCTGAACACAATAATATGGCCAGCATAATGAAATTACATAATGAACCTTGAAAATCTTAAAAATATAGATGTTCACAAATCCAATGCTGAACACAAGAATATAAGCCAGCATAACAAAATATCTGAAGCAATATAATGAACCTTGAAAATCTTAAATATGTAAACGTTCAAAAGTTCAATGCTGAACACAATAATATGGCCAACATAATAAAATAACTGAAGGAATATAACGAACCTTAAAAATCTGATGTTTATATATTTATGTTCATAAGATCAATGCTGATCACAATAATATGGCCAACATAATAAAATAACTGGAGGAATATAATGAACCTTAAAAATCTGATGTTTATATATTTATGTTCATAAGATCAGTGCCAAAATAATGCAATCACTGAAGGGATATACCCACAATAACAAATTAGATGAATAAAATATGTAGACACTAATAAGTAAAACTTCCTACCTAGGAAGTAGTTAATAATGTACAAGGGGTGGGCAATCCTGGCCCTTGCACTGCGACCACAGTGATCTATTGTGCCTAAGTAGTTAATAAATTTAATTACAAAATATACAGTGAATCCTGACATTGATTCTACTCCTCGGTGTTTCATGCTGAATCAGGTAACCTGAAGATTGCAAGTCAATTATAAAGTAATGCCACTTCATTCTTACCCACACATAAACAAGAGCCATTTCAGTCAGAAAAGAATTTCTCACACAGTTCTTGATTGAAATACAATTACTTTCAGATACAGGGCAGAATGAACTCTGACCATCTTCTGACAATGATGTTCTAATATACTGGGAAGAAGGAAACAGGTCTCCAAATTAAGGAAGAGATGGAGCTCAAGATCAGATTAGGTTTCTTGTACATAATCCGACTGTATGTGACAATGTTATCAACAAATTACTCAGTACCAGAGGTTTGAGACAAGAGCATGTGAAGGCATCGTAGTTGCAGTTGCTTGACACCACGGTTACTTTCTCCAACTTATGAAACATCTATTGATGCTCATGTGAGCAATTGGAATATGTTATTCCAGTAATTCAATAATTGCTGTCTGCCAATTTCCAGGGCTGGTATGGGCAGGATATTACAAGGCAAATATGAAGAAACATCACTTTCCTAATGACTTACTGATAGGGTTCCCAGATATCCCGTTTTCCCCAGATTCTTCCATTTTTTCACCCAATTTTTGTTCCTCCATTTATTGTTTACCCAGAGTGGATAATTCTCCGGTTTTTTTTTATTTAAGTCCATTGCGAATTATATTTCATGAGTTACATATTATCATAAAATTTCTGTAATCCTTGGAAAATGACATTGTTATAGTTTCTTTCATTATGTTGCATTTCGTGAATGTTGGCAACACTTGAGGTTCTAAGCCAAAGCAGAGGTTGTTGGTGATAAGAGTATTTTTAATCCGTTCAATCTTTGCTAGAAAGTCAGTGTCAAGTTAGCAAAAATGTTTGAGGGCGAAGAAGACCCATCAAAGACTACTCCACGGAAGAAGTTGAAATTCCAGGCCAAACATAATCAAATATATCTTAAGAAATGGGAAGATATGTTTTCGTGGGTTAAGCTGGGACCAGACAAGAACCAGGCATTTTGTACATTGTGTAGGAATGATTTTAGTATTTCGCATGGTGGACAATGTGACCTGAAGTTGAAGTTGAACATGCACAATACAAGGGACATAAAATTAAAGAAAAATATAATTCTGGAAGTTCAAATAAACTTTTGAAATACTTTGTTAAATTAAAACAATAAAATAGAATATGACTACAGCGCCACATTCGAACTTGGTTTAGTGTATCATGCAGTGAAACACAACTTAATTTATTCCATTATGGACTATGGAAATAAACTTGTGTCCCATATTTTCAGTGATTCCATGATTGCTTCCAAACTTTCATGTGGATGCACTAAAGAGGAAATGATAGTGAAGTACGTTCTTGCTCCTAAAAGTATAAATGACTTTGTGTCTATTTTAGGATGTCAAGAAAATACTTCAACATTTTTTTCGCTGGCTACCGATGCATCAAACAGAAGCAATTGAAAAATGTTCCCTGTCTGCATCCAGTACTTTGACCCTTTAAAGGGAGTGCAGAATAATCTTCTAGATTTTGTTGAAAGTGCTGAGGAAACGTCTATGGCAATTACTGGTTTGGTGCTGCAGAGCTTGGAAAAGCACAACTTGGATGTAAATTATGTGTCTTCTTATTGTGCAGACAATGCCAATGCGAACTATGGAAAAACACATTCCGTATTGAACCGTGCAACGGTTCTTCTCCGTTAAGTTCCTTGGAGTGGCCTCTCCAGATACCAGGATGCAAGCCGGTCCTTTCTTCCCTGCTGACATCAGAATCACCTGTCCCCCCCCCCTCCTTANGACATCAGAATCACCTGTCCCCCCCCCCCTCCTTAGCATGATTGCGAACCATCGTGGTAAGTCAAGATAAGAGATTGTTCTCTTCTTCCCTTACATCTTCGTCTGGTGACATCGCTACGACTAAAT